AATATATGTTTATCAAGTTCGTATGTTCTACTCGCCCTGTTCTCAGAACAACCGCCATACATTGATCTCACTCCTTGATGAAGAATTAGCTAATTTTAGACGATTAGTATTTGATTTGGATACAATTGATGGGCCCAAACAGAATACCCAACCCGAGTTTTAAACAGAAGCAATCATTTTGGGAGTGTGATGCTAGGCGCATGGTATAGAAGGTGATGTAATTTCTTCCAAAATATATTTCTTTAAAACGCAAGTATTTGTCTTCGGAAATAATACTTTCCAATTAATAGTTAACAGTCTGAATCTTAAAGCAAACATTAGGAAAAAACATTTAATTTTGTATGAGCATGGAAAAATCACGGGTACCTCTTTACGCGCAAATAGGAACTCACTAGCCAATGCTGCTACTGCAAGTATTTCTTAATATTTTCAAAGGAAACCGATATGTTACGTGAATGAAAAATCAATGTCATGCTCAGTGATATTCAAACCGTACTTGCTTAAACTTATAAATTCAAAAGCATGTTTAAAGACTCAAAATGTGTGGTGCATATTACATCTTTTCCCATATGAAATGACGGTCGATAATTTTTCAGTTCAGGGAAGACAGGTAGTAGGTACTTTTCCAAGATACTGAATAAGTTAGTTACCTGTAGAAATCAAGCCGGCCACTTTCACTTACTTAAAAAAACCTTTAGTTCAGGCATTTCACGGATCCCGGTACCGTAGTCAAACTCCTGTACATGCTTTCAGAAGAGGATTGTCGAAGTTCTACATATATTCCCTAACTGCAAAAGTGTTCTTCGCTTCTAAGTTTGAAGCAACTTGGGTGTACAGGGACTTGATCAGAATCTTCAGAATATATATGGCACTAAAAATACTTAATTACTGGATAAGCACTCAAATAAGTACTTACGAAGTGAATTTTCACACGTATGTGTTAAACTGCTAGACTAACGAAAAAGCTTATTTTTAGGATTGAAAACCTCCTGTGCATTTTTAAAAGTTTAAGATGAAAGCGGGAAAACATGTGCTAGCAAATTTTAAATGTGCTTCAGTTTTGTATATTAAAACTCACCCTAAAAGATCGCGTGTAGAATTAAACTGCTTAGCCGCCGAAAGTATTATTGTAACTAGTTTCTAACTGCAGGGAATATCGGAGGGAAGGGTTGCCATGTATGTCGGCTGTCCTGGTTTTGTATAATTACCACTGGTACGCCAACACATCCGTTGGTTCCAAAACCCAATAAGAAAGTACCCCTTGATTTGACCAGTGTCAAGTCAACACCCAGACCAACTGAATCACCCACTGTCAATTTAATCCTGAGTCTAATTTATGCCTTCTCAATGTAACAGTTGATAATTTTACGTCGAACGGGCAGTTTCTAGACTTTGAGTGACACATGTTTAATTTGAGCACCAACAACGACGTGTTTGACGCGTGAAATCTAACCAACCAATAGGAGGGCTAGCATGAGTTAAACAAGCAAGAGGCCCATCGATTGAGCAAAGCTCTCACTTGCGCTAACCAGTCACCCGCCGAGTAAGGCGGCAGCCATTCAGATGCATCACAGATTGTCCAATCGAATAGAAACCCAGCGGAAAGTCCTCAGTTTGAACGGAGATACTTGAAGCGACTGAAGAAATCAACCTTCCTTCCGGCAGGCCATTAAAATTCCAAGGAACATACGCTTACGTGAGTGGTCAAAAA